TGATCTTTTAGCAAACTTAAGAAAGTTCAGACATCTTGAAATCTAGGCATAGACAATGTTTTGATTTAACGATGAATGAGCTAAAGGTCAACCTGAGAAAATTGATTCTTGACATATTTCCAACAGGGGTCACTTGTTTCATCCCCATGGACTCAAAGTTTGGAATTAAAACCCTCACTTTTAGTAAATTATATGTTGAAAATACCGAGAGTTCTAATTAGAGGTACATCCCAAATGCTAGCAGAGCCCCCTCTATTCATTTGCTCTTAGCTGTATGAGAAACTGTGATGTGTTTTTTTCAAAGTAATTTACCTTCAGGCTTAAAGAATTGGATATATGAGAAAAGAATTTTCCAAGTTTTATTGATTCAATAATGAATCGAAAAAAAAAATGTTTATGAGATTACAGCTACTTGGTAACTCAAAAATAATTGATCTAAGAAACTTGAAATTTCGTATGCTAAATGCTACATCCAGTGATAAAATTCAATGTTCTAGCTACTGTTATTACAGAATCATCCTGATGAGCATCAACGGGGGAGCCTCACATCAACTGTTCCTATAAGGTCACAACGATTATTACCAGGAACATTTTATTTGTGGAGACATAAAGACGGGCTATGAGATAGACACCTTGAAAGTAGACTTGAACTAAGGAATATTAGGAATCAATTGGAACAACAAAAATAAAATATGACAAAACTTGCTCTCCTGCCACTGGTGGAACAAATGTTTCCAGGGACCTAAAGCCAAGAAAATAGAAATCCATAAACACAAAGGCCAAGATAATCAGCTGAATCTACCAAGTTTCCATAAATTACAAAACAAAACGCTAAAAACCAAACAAACCAAAAAACCCCACCTACTTTGAAGGAAAGAATGCCAAAGAGCTTTGACCTTTTCTGCCTGCCGCCTACCACAGAAATCCCGGCCTGCAGCTGATTTTAAAATTACCACATCTCCAAAAAATTATGGGAGATGGGTATCTTAAAAACACAATAGCTTTGATCTCATAGGTCAAATCCACATTGGCCTAAGTGGTAATTATTGAGGAAGGGGTAATCTACTTCATTCATTTTAGTAACCAATTCTTTCTCAGTTAGATTTGCCACAGAGCCAGCCCAACTTAATTAAGAAAGCACAATAATATCGGATTGAACTATTTTTTTCAACCCAAGAATTTTTATTATAGAGAGAACGCTTGGACAATTTAAGCAATTATATGCTTTATTTCTCCTTAGCTGTATCTCCATTCTTGCTAATTTACAAGGTTTTGAATTCAACTTGCTTTATTCTTAATATTTTACATCTCGTCTTCTTCCTTTTAGAAAAATTTAAACTACATTTCAGAAGGCTGCAGGGTAAGTGTTGGTGGCTAGTTTCTATGAGTAACAAGTAATATCCCCCGAGAACCCAGAGCACTGTCCTGGGGAACAGCAGGCCAAATTCTAACTGCCATGAAAAACTCTGCAGACCTAACACAGAAAGTCTAAAACTTGAGCCATGCTACTGGTCAGTTGTTGGGTCAATGTACATTCTAGATTTCACCATATGGCTCCCAAAATACCAGGAGAGCACAACCTACATAAACCTCTTTGCGTCCACATTACCACCGTGTGTGTTAGGAGGGGGTTACTGGGGATTGAACCCAGAGCTTCCTGCATGCTCTTCAAGCACTCTTGCCACTGAACCAGAGCCCTAGCCTACCACTTCTTCTCATTTAGATGCAACAGCTGCTAAAGAGCCAGGTACTGTGAAAGAAAACTGAACTTGCAGTCAGAGTCCAAATGTGTGGCTCCAGCTCTTCAGGGAACCAGTCAAAGTGTTTTAGAGCCATGGGCTAGGGTGTGCCCGCTGAAGCAGGCTATGCAAGTGCCAATCTGACTTACCCACTTTCTAGCTAAGTGACTCTAGGCAAGGTATTTAAATCTTGTGCTTCAATATTCTCATTTATAAGCCAGCAATGATGTCAATAACTACCATACCGAGTTTTTGTGAGGCTTCAAGATTCTAAAAGGGCTTAGCACAGAGCCTCAGCCCAGAGTAACTATTAGTACCAGCTGCATGACCTTGGGGATCACATTGACCCTCTCTGGGACTCTATCTCATCTTCTACACTAGAAGGGATCACTGTCTCATGTGGTCTTCAGGAAGGCAGAATTAATTCAAGCGAGATAACATATATAAAAGTTATTTTTAGGGTCTGGGGTTGTGGCTCAGCGGTAGAGCGTTCACCTAGCATATGTGAGGCACTGGGTTCGATCCTCAGTACCACATAAAAATAAATAATAAAATAAAGGTATTGTGTCCAACTACAACTTAAAAAAAATTTAAAGAAGTTATTTTTAAAACATAATCAAGTTTTAGACATCTTGTTCAACCAAGAAGAATCAGTTCCTTTCTTTTGTTCTGTTTCCATGATACTTAAAACATATGCACGTGTGCACACATACACACAATAGTGATCTGCTTACCTGTCCACCCCACTCCCCAACCAACAGTGTATCTAAGTCACCTCTGCATCCTCAGCACCAGACAGTTACTCAATTAATTTTTATTCAAATGAGCCTTGTCCGAACAATGGAGCAGGAATTCTTGAGGCCTTTTGCTGGATGGATTGTCACTTTTGCTTGGTGTCTTCCGTAGATCACACAGGAAGTGCTTGTTTTTCTCCAGTTAGAATGTACTGAGATTCTGCCAATCTTATGAGTTTGCATTTGTTTATTCTTTTCACTGAATAATTATTGAGCACCTGCAGACTGCAAGGTCCAAAGCTGAGCTCCGTCCAGTGTGCCAAGAGTGGCAAATGCCCAGATGAATTTAGTCCCTACATACTACATGTAGAAGGAAACTACTTGTTGTAGAATCACCTACTCTTTGAAATAATGAACTCCTTGGTTTGATGACTATATTGGATTGGATTACAGGAAAGAATGGGTTCCTGGAAGTAAAGGTCTTTATAGAATAATAATTAAGGTCAGGAATCTGACTGCCTGAGTTCAGATCCTGGATCTGGTTTGCACCAAGATGTAAGAACTTGAAAAAAAATTCCTGTATGCCTCATTTTTCTCATCTGTAAAATGGAGCTAATAGGATGGGTAAGTTAGAAAGAAAACTCCTGGGAATCTTTTACAATGGTACTTGCCACATAAACAACACACAACTGTGTGCTCTCTGTGATGATTAACCCCACTCTCCCCACTCCCTCACCCCACTGTTTGAATTTCCATTGCAAATTTCCATTGCAAATGGGGCCTGGCTACCCAACTTCTGGGTGTCGTACCACCAGGGTCAGGAATTTACTACATCCTATGCTTGTCCATTTGGTTGCTAAGCAAATTGAGTTGCTGCTAAGTTTCAGGGAATTAAGCTATGCATTCTTACATCTTCCACTCATCGGTCTTCCATCCATCATTTGGGATTACCCAAAAGAAATCGAATCTGTCCAATGTGGGACGGTCCCTGGAACTTCAGAAGGCAGCTATGAACTGCCAGTTCTCACCTTCCTCTCACATGCCCACACATAACCTTAGCTCCTCTTGCTATTTCTAATTAACACTGTTTACCAGATTCTTTATAATCCTTTTTACTCTTCTTGAATAATCTCCTTATTTTCAACATCTGAATGTCTGAAGTCCAGCATTCATAAAACAGAGCAAATGTGGTCTGATCACCAGAAAGTATTAGAGAACTAGTTCCCTTTTGAACACCATATTTCTATTAACACAAAAGATTGATTTTTTTTTAAGCAACATCACACCAGGTTGACTCATCATCCACTCACAATCAACAGGGGACTAAATCTTCGTGACATGTACAGTTGTAAGCTATCCCGCCCCCACTCTATACTTGTATAATTGAATTTTGGGATCGTTGAGCACTTTATATTTGTACCCATTAGCTTTAGATTGTTAGATATGAGTCATTATTACATTTGTCAGGAGCTAGGGGGAGGAAATCCTGACTGTTGTGTGTCATCTGTAACTTTGTTCAGTATGCCCATCAATGTCACCAGCTTAGTCATCAATAAAAGTCTTAGGGGGCACATGGTTGCAAGACAGACCTGTACTGGATCTATAAACCTGGGTATGCATCTGCCTCTTAAAAACAAGACACTTTCAGGGGCTGGGGTTGTGGCTTAGCGGTAGAGCGCTCACCTTGCATGTGTGAAGCCCTGGGTTTGATCCTCAGTACCACATATAAATAAATAAATAAAATAAAGGTATTTTGTCCAACTACAACCAGAATATATATATGACGCTTTTAAAAGACATCATTTAGGCTTGGTATGGTGGTTGACAGCTGTATTTCTAGCTACATGGAAGAACATTTTACATGGGAGGCTGAGGAGGGAAGATCGCAAGGTTGGGACCAGCCTGGGCACTAGTGAGATACCATCTCAAAAAAAAAAAAAATCATTCATTCAGTCATCAAATATTTACTGAGTACTTTCCATGAACTATTCCAAGTGCTGTACAAAACAAAATCTCTGCCCTCCTGGGGCTTACGTTCTTTCTAGAAATAGACAATGAAAAATAAGAAGACATGTAAGTTGCATTCAATTTTATGAAAAATGAAAGCAAATAAAAGACTGGAGAAGTTGGACAAAGGGATGGAGGCGGGGACTGTCTACAGGCTGTATGGCTAAAGCAAAATGCGCAGGTCCTCATTCCCAGTATGCGTCTGACCCAAAAGTTCTTCCCAAGTGGGCAGCAAGTCTTTCTGATTTCTCAACACCCCCTTTCTCTACATGGAATTATATTAGAACAAAAATCAATAGAGCAATGATGAAGAATTTAATTAGTCATGAAACAAAAAAAGAAAATTTGAAAGGACTTCCCATTTCTCTGTCCACATAGGATATTCAAATATCTTAAGGACAAGTGGAGTTGCCAGGAAGCCAGTCACATCTCCTAACGAAGACTCCAGAGAGACTCTACAGGCCCAGTACATGGTTGAAAGCAAAACAATAGAGGAAAAAGCTGAAAAGCTACTGCTTACCTTATTCCAATCCCCATGTTCTCAAGAATGGAGTGGGTTCCAAGTCCAATAGCCTGCGAAGAATCTGGAGGATGGGGTACTTAGGTGACCCCAAAGCTCGGCTCAGAGAGACTGCACATTGAATTCTGGAAAAGAAGTTCATAGTGACAGATTGGAAATCTGCCTCTATCAACTGCTCTCTGCTCATGATTTTAATGTTGATATATTCTTCTAAAATGTGTGTGTGTGTGGGGGGGGTACTGGGGATTGAATCCAGAGGTGCTTGACCACTGAGCCACATCTCCAGCCCTTTTTATTTTGAGACAAGGTCTCACTAATTTGCTTAGTACCTTGCTAAGTTGCTGAGGCTGGCTTCACCCTTGTGATCCTCCTGCCTCAGCCTCCCAAGTCACTGGGATTACAGGTGTGCCCAGTTCTTCTAAATATTTTCAATCTTTACATTCCTCTGTTATTAAGGGACTTGATAAATCTTTATTTATTAAAATTCTAGTTGTGCTCTTTGGTTGGAAATTCATCTTATACCTCACAATGATACCTTTGGTATTTACTTTCAGTCATCTATTTTGTACCATAGACTTTGTTGGTGCTGGGAATACGATAAAATATGGTCACTGCTTCCAGGAGGCTCACAATAGAGAGGGAGGTAGAAACAGGAAAGCCAGCTCTAAGGAAGCAGTGTGTTGAGCAGAGAAAAGGATGGGAAGTGGGAATTCAGTGACTTCTAAGCAGAAAGAGTTAATCCTAAGGAGGTGGCATGTCCATTTCAGGTAGAGGCACAGCACACACTGTGGAAATAACAGAACGGAACCTGCAGGCGGAGTACCAGCCCCGAATGCACTTCCATGCAGGTGAGGCAGAGAGAATCAGGCAAAGTGGTCAGGGATGAGAACTGGAAAGGTACAAAGGACTGCATTATGCAGAAATGTGCAAGCCATGTTATCGAGGAGGTACCCTGCGCTGGAATGGTGATTGATTACATGTTGACATTTCAAAGAGGGAGAAGTTGAGACTGCAGATCGGATTTTGGGCTTGGGCAACAAGGTGGATAGTGATGTCTCTCATAAGACAGTGGAGAACATGAAAACGACATGGACAGTAGGTGGGGGAGCAGGTGACCCATTCAGCCCTGGATGGGTTCCTTTCTGATGCCTGGTGAGCAGTCAGAGCACCAGGGGGCGGTTGGATCCAGAAGTCAGAAGATACAGGTTTAGAAATCATCAGCATGACCATAGAATCCACAGTGAAGCTCACAGTGTAGGCAGAGGAAGGACCCTGAGAAGCAGATAGAAGATGCAGCCAGAGGACAGGGGGCAACAGGAAGCACAGCTTATCTCAGAGGATGAGGGGAAGCACATTTCACATACACGAGGGTGTGGGGCAACAAAGGCAGACGCTGTCAAGAGATCAAGTAAGAAAGACTGAGAAGCACCCACAGGTGCACCAAGGAAATATTTGACCATTTTGGTAAGGAGCTGGGCTGGTGGGGACAGAAGTCAGGTCACAGTGAATTGAGGAGACCACGGAACCAATGAATTCAGACAGTGTGTCAAAAGTTTGCCTTCAAAGTGGAAGAAGACATGATCCCTAGACCTTCTTCCCAAGGGAAGGAAATTGAGTCCTGAGGGAGGCCCATTTTCAATAATTTTTATTTACACTAGCGCAGCTGACCACTGTGGCAATGCCTGGGCAGACATGGTCCAACCACTAGCCCTGGACTAGGCCAGAACTGTAAGGTAAGCCATTTATTTATAATTTTATGTTCTCCTCGTAGGTGTTCCTGGGCCAAGGCCTGCTGAGATGCAAGAGGGTACGCTGACCTCTCTGAGCAATCCACCAACGACATGACCTACAGAGGGACAAATCTGGTCAGACACGGTTCTCACAGTCATTATCTCTCACCTATTGTCATGGCTCATGTAATGGGAGCAGCCAGGGGAGGGGAGAGGAGTCTGGTCACCTTGGAGTCAGGAACAGGCAGCTGGCCCCACAGCTGGCCAGGCAGCTATGCAAGCAGGGAGTCTCTCTGAGAGCGAAATCCAGAAGCCAAAATAAACGGGTCAGGTGGAAAACAGATGACCAGAACGGCAAGCCATGCTGAAGGTTGGTCCCAGGGAGTGAAGGTGAGCCAGGACATAATGGATGGATGCTGGGGGGGCTTTGGATGCTGCAGGAGTCCAGGGGGCCGTGCAGGAACAGGGACCAAAGAACCAGAAAGGAAGTAAAGCTCAGAGGCCCGATGCGATTACGCTGTCCACATGTCCACGTCTCCACCCTGCATGCTTCTGAGGCCCTGCTGTAGTTCTCAGGCCTTCATGATACGAAGTTTCTGACATTCACAACAGTCCCCCAATTTTAACCCCCTCTCCTATCATCATGACCCCGAATTCTGAGGAGACAGCAAAGCTCTGGCCCAGGAGCTGCTAAGGGGGTGCCCACAGGCATTGGTGGTCACCAACCTAAAAAGGTCATAGGAATGGCTCTCCCTGGGGAGGAAACAGGCCTGACCGTTGATTTAGTCCCTGAGTGAATAAGAAAACTACCTAGTGACTTGAAGAGTGGAAACTTGATTTCTAAATTATGATCCTTCCAGGACGTCTAGGTTCTCTAAAGTGCACACTGTGAGGAAATGGAAAGGCTTAACTGTCTTCAGTTTGTGATTAGAGCACAGAAAAGAGAGAGAACACTAGTAAACAGCACGTATTAGCCCAATATTTTTGGTTGGTGCGCAGAAGGCCAACCGAGTTTTCAGCTGAAGATTTTTTTTTTTTGTTTTTCCATTTCCCTAAAGTCAATAATCTTTACCTGCTAGATATTGCTTAAAGCAGAATTTTCATCTAATTCTCATTTGAGGGGACTGAAAAGGAAAAACTAAATAATAATACCTCATTTGTGTATAATGCTTGTCTTTCACAGAAGACACCCTACCCATTTAGGACTATCTAATTTAGAGTAACAACGCTTTTATAATGTAAATACTAGTAAGGGCTATTATCATTTTATAAATGAGGCATGAAAGAAATCCAGGGAGGTGGGAATGAAATGACTGGTTCAATGTAACTTCCATTTAAGAGGTGTCATTGCTGGTTTATTTTTCACTTTTTATTAACAACGAAGCCACATTTTGGATAAACATGTTTATTAAAGGTGTATCTTGCCCTTACATTTGAAAATGAAAAATCTCTTAGGGAGAAATAACAAGGACCAACATAGTCACGTGACTCCTCGGATCCAGCTGCTCTCATGAATCTAGAGCTAACCAATCAACTCCCGACCAACTCTGCTCATCCTCGGCAGGGATCTCAGCTGGCACCACATGCATCACAAGCCACTCTGGTGCCATCCCCTCTCCGTGGGAGTTATGTCATAATGGTCTTGTTGCCTCGAGTCGACCTGGGAAACGCCATTACCTATACAAATTTAGCACATACGTAAAGGCACTGATACTCTTGTTCTTTCATGAGCTTCAGGTCAGAGAGTTTTTCTGATCTTTTAATGTATTTATTCACGTTTTCATTTCCTCACACTCTCAAGCATTCATGCATTCATTTGACAAACATCTTGGGCCCAAAATGTATTGTTTTAGATATTCTAGATGTTAAGGATAAAAACAGGGAAAAGACAAAATCAACGACTTCAAGAAATGCACAGCCTAGTAAAGAGCCAGATTAAACACTTGCTGTTCATTGTGGAAGGTGAGGAGATAAGAGATAAGCACCAGAATAGTTTGGGGAGCACAGAGGGGAAATCTGGCTTGATCTGTGTGGGGTGCCCACAGGCACTGGGAGTCACCAACCTAAAAAGGTCATAGGAATGGCTCTCCCTGGGGAGGAAACAGGCCTGACCCTTGATTTAGTTCCTGAGTGAATAAGAAAAGGGAAGGCCTTGGACAGAGGTGGTCTGAGAGCCAAGCACTCCTGGAAGAGGACCTGTGCACTCCGGGTGTGGGGGACAGCATGTGCAATGACATGAGTAAGATCACACTGTGCCTCTGGAGACCTGCAGGAAGGTCGTATGATGGCGGGTGCTTTAGGTATTCGATGACGGGTCCTGTTTGCCATCTCAGGCCTGGAGATCCTCGTGAATGACTCTATAAAGGGAAATGTCTTGTCTGCCGTCGTGTAAGTAAACACACTTTCTATGTGGATCTGTACTCACTATTTAAGGAATATCGCAGAGGGAAAAGCACACAGTCAAGGTTTCTCTGGTCTCCCCAAGTTTTGTATTATCTATATTTCATTACTATTATCCTCCAGGGACTAATAGAAACAGCGGACTTTTTCATCAAATCTAGGTGGTCTCTTAGCCCATTTCCATTATATTTTACTATAAAAATTTTGTATGTAGAAATACTTCAAAATACAAGTGGGTATGGTGGTTCACATGTATAATCCCAGTGATTTTTTTTGCGGTGGGGGGGGGGGTGCTACGGGTTGAACCCAGGACCTGGGCATGCTAAGCAAGAACTCTACCAACTGAGATATATCCCCAGCCATCCCAGTGATTTGGGAACTGGGGTAGGAGGATTGTAAATTCCAGACCAGCCTGGGCAATTTATGAGACCCTGTCTTAAAATAATACTCAGTGGTAAAGTGCCCCTGGGTTTAAACCCTAATACCTAAACAAACAAACACCCCATAGCATTTTCAATTGCATGGTTGGATGGGGCAGGTTTTTCCTCTTAACCTTTTTCAGACTGTTCAGGTTGGAGCTGCCCAGCCTCCAAAAGGACAGAACCAGCCTTATAAGTTTTTTATTGGCAACACCAGGAGGAGGTACTTGGAAATGGCCTCTGAAAATTCTACACCAAGTCCCTGTAGTGACAGCTCTTTCCTGGGACTCCATCTTCCCCTCAGAGAAGGCTGGCATGGAGGCCTGTATGAACTGAGGCCAGAAAGAGGGAGAGAGAAGAAATACAAACACAGCAGAATTCACACAGAACTGTCCTTAGACTAATCTACTGCCTCAGTGATCATACTCTGCATTCTCTTGTCACTTGTGAAGAACTTTGACACTGAAATCACACCCTCATTTATACTTGGGAATTTTTCAGCTACTTTAAGAGTTCAAAATAATTCATTGATATTAGTTCCGAATTCATGGGATCCTCTGTGACATATATCATTTC